AGCACCGGACTTTATTGGCAGTTACGGCTCATCATTTTTCTGTTAAAATTGATGTAGTTGTTATGATAGTTTCTTTTTTTTTTTTTTTTTTTTACATATATTTGTGGTATTAATTTTTAATTTAATAAAAAAATATTGCAAAAAAATATATTTATCATTAAAAAAAGATATTAACTTCAATTTCTTCATTACATTTTTTTTTCAACATCATTCGAAAATATTTGATATAACACGCATTTAAATTTATCCCTTTTTTATTTATACTATATAAGAATTATAACCTAAAATTTTATAATAAATTCCATATATATATATATATATATATATATATATATATATATATATATATATATATAATTTTATAAAATTAAGGCAATTTACGATGCTTTTCCTGTTATTTTGTACGTTTTAATTGTTTTGTCATGTATGCGTTTATCTCCGTGAACATTAGGCTAATTTTATTTAAAAAAAATAAACAAAATTTCCATAACAACATTAATGGTAACAAATTTGACCTGAATAAACAAAAAAACAACCTAAAGACAAATAATTTTCCATTTCAACAAAAATTTTTATGCAATCTCAGTGGTCAAATTTTTTTATTTTAAATTATCATATTCTTAATAACGTATATTTCTTCTCGAATTTTTTATTTTATCTATATTAACTCAATAATCCGCCTATTGTCTTTATATACATTTATTTAAATATCCATGGTTGTGAGTGATTAAATAAAACGATATCATTACCGCTGATATAATCCTTCAACTGTAAAGAGTCGTCAACAAACTGAGAAGAAGCCCCAAAATCATTTAGTACTGCACACTTTTAAGTCCCCATTCTTAAAAGCTTTCAGAAGCCTCTACGTGATTAATTATTTCCCACCCTACAACACGTTTCCTACAAACGAAAACGTTGTGACCATCTCTCTAGTTTATCTTTATCTCCATGGAGAATGTTATGACAAGCTACCATCTTTGTTTGCAACAATTCTAACCTTCACAGCCAAGACCCGCCGTGTCACATACACAGACTCGAAGGTAACGTATTTCGTTGGTGAGACCTAACTTCCAGTCGAGCACCTTCTTTCCAGAAACCGCTGCTTTGTTGTAACCAACTACCAAGGAAATGATTTCTCAGATACTACAATCTTAGCTTAGTTTTCCCACATATCTTCATAAACTGCGCTTCTGACCTTCCATATATACTGTTCATAAAACAACCTCATTCAGTGACCCGCTATCTTGAGTGACTCTCGAACCTTGCATAGCGTGACCATTAGCCAACAGAAGAAATAAATACAGTCGAGGGAAAATCCGGTCAGGAGGAATTTCAAGATTTTCAACCGAAATCATCAAATTTTCTTCCAAAATATTTTGATATACTACGGCATTCATTTTACAATTTATTACTGATATGTTGCCAGTACCTTTTGCAAGAACGTTTTGCAAGAATCATGATGGTGTCACTACCAAATTCCATTGTTGGAATTGTCTTCTTTTGTTTAGAATTACGTCCAAACAACTTTTTTTTGGTTTATTTATTCTCTATATAATTTCTTTCCTAATACGATTTTTCCGTATCCTAAATTTTAAATAAAATTTTTTCAATATGGCAAATTTGTGTCTTTTCAATAGCAGTGGAGTTTTCCGAGGGGAGCGTGACTTTAGATTATTATATGAATTTCATTGCTTATTGTATATATTTATATAACACAGATTCCTGATGAATGCAAATCGTCCTGAAAACATTAGACGAGTAACCAATATTTTTTTTCGTTTAATTTGACGCATTAATTTTCACCGAAATCTTGAAGAAATCTTATTTAGATATATCCATTTATATGTTTTTGTTTTCAAAAGTTTTTCAATTTTAAATACCTTACAATGAATGAACTAATATATAGGAAATGGAATATAAATTTAATGAGATTTCCCTATAATTTTTACTTTCTTTCCAGAGCTTAATAATGAGTTCTTTTTGCGAATTTGTCAATTCATTACATTTTGCCATGATGATAACTTTCTTGCACGAATATCAATTACAGATATTAATTAATTATAATATTAATTAATATAATGAATTTTATGAGAAGTATGCTTATTCATTAGTCGGAAACACAATGAATTAAAAATTTGTATGTGTATATATATATATATATTTTTTAAAAAAAAGAGAGAAATACATATATGCTAATACGTCGCGCCTAGAAAAATCCTCAACAGAATGCACTAAACATTTGTTTAGGTCCTATCTGGGATTCATCATAATTTATGCATCCATTTATATATTTTCGAATTAAAACCCGTTTCAATACATCGACAATGCCATACCAACTGTACTACGGGCCTCATGTTCAGTGATATTTTAAAAAAAAAAAAAATATTGATATAGCGCAGTAAACCCAGTTCCGCGGCCTAAATTAAAATAATCATTTTATTTGTAAAAATTTGAAGACCCAGTTCATGCTCTGCGATGGAACGGATTAAGAAAAAAAGCA